AAGGTAGGAATGATGTACTGCTGAGGGTGGGTGAGCTGGTGCAGAAGATTCCGGGTTAAACCCGAATCTGCTGAGATTGACAAGAACTAGAACTTGCCTGGGTGATAAATCCCATGTCTGTGCTTTTCCACCATGCCTTATTTTTTTCCCATGGTGAGACTTGGCTTTCGGGGTTGTGCTGATGAATTGTTCAGCTGTGGTCAGATTTACTTAAAAGGTAAAAATAACACATAAAACCCCAGTGTGGGTGGTTCAGTAGCTGGAGCTGCCACATGTCTCCAATGAACCCCGAGTAAGCCCTTGACAGCCACTGCTGCTCACTAGGAAGTGCCCCATGAAACAGGTACAAAGCCAACCTGCAGCAATCACTTTTACACAAGCTTTTAATATTTTATGGTAGAGTTTTATGCAACTGCATTCAAAGGTGGAGGTTTATTCAGTGGGCTTTCCCTGCTGAGGTCACAGGAGTGGGTTGAAGGACCGGTGGCAGTTGCCAGAGTACGATGTTGAGAACTTTGATGCTTCCAACACGATGCTGAGTCATGAATTGATTGTGAAGCAGATTGAGTGAGTGTGGAAACATCAGGCCTTTCTTCTAATATTTATTAGCCTGTGCTACTGTTATGAGTTTATCAGTGGTTTGTGGCTTGTCCTGCCTTTATCAGAAATGTAGGGACAGTGGTAACCTTTGCCTGCGTGCATTCTCTGAAGAGACAATCTGTCACTCTCCCCATAATTAAAAATATTGCTGTTTTAACCTTGATGGCCACTTTTATTGTCATCATTAGATGATATGAAACCCCATCTGAACTGGAGTCCTGACCCCAGAGGCTGAACAGGGAGTGCTTGAGCAGTCTGGGAAATGAGACACCAAGACACCTCTACTGTGTTAGAGGGTGTTGAAGACTCAGGATTGTGTCGTATCAGGAAACAGTTCTAATCCTCATTAAAATAATCCAGTGGGATACTTGTGAGTGGGAGAGGTTTGTTTTGCCTCCCAGGACAGTTTGGCCACTCAGCATGAGCATTTCATGAGACTAAAGCAGGTGGGGTAAAAACTCAAGTTACAGTGAGAACAAGCACCTTGTTTAATCCTTCTTTTGTCTTCAGGAGCTGTTCTTTCCTTGTTCTTATAAACTTTTCTCTGTATATGCTATAATTTGTTTCCTGCTTTGGAAACAAACTTGCTGGTTTTTTTAACTCAGATATTCACCATCTTTTTGGTGATTTACTTCCATTTCAACATCCCTGCTAGCTGGAAGATAGAGCCAAACCTTGCTTAAAGCCAGCACTGATAGCCAGAATGTTAATTTATTTTTTTTTTTTGGTCTTAGCATTTCTGAAACATTTTTTTGGAGGGGTGGGATGTGAAATCCACTCCCCGTGGAATGAATAATGTCTATGTAATGCTGGTTTTGGAATCTTTAGCAGCATATTTACATTACTGGCTTCCTTGCTTAGTAAACTGTAAAACTAAAAAGACCACCACGCAGCTGGGAGGACATGAAAATGTGCCAAGTTGCTCGAGCTGGGTGATATTACCCCAAGAGTGCTAAAAACTTGAAGGAAATAGCTGAAATAAGAGCCAACAAGCTTCCGGGGTCTGGCAGATGTGATGATTTAAATACAAATAGTTAAATAAAGGGGAAATGCAAAAAGCAGCTCCAGGAGCGAATCAGAATTACAGGCCATTCTTGTAGAAATAAAGCCCAAAACTAGTTTTGGTGAGCTCCTTGATGAACATGAGTAGTGTCAGTGAAAGGAAATCATGGCTCTTGGAGCTCTTAGGAAGGATCAGGGAGTACAAAATAGGGTGTTATGGGAGCCACAGTCATGATTTCCAGGCATCTTTCCACAGGTTTCCTTATCTAAAGAAATCATCTGGGTGGGGTTAAAGGGGAAAGGTCCTTACAGGGGTGGAAATGAGTAAAATTACAAGAAATGGAGGGTAGGGACAGCTGATGGATTTTTTTTTTTTTTTTTTTTTCTGGCAGAGATGGATCTGGAAGGATTTGCATGTTGTATATATAGAAAAATGGAGGTGAGAAGTTCAGTGGCACTGCAAATGAGGCAGTTTTAATCAAGATAAATAGGATGGATTGTTTCTACTGGGAAGATTGTAAAGTTGGTGAGACCAACTGGGCTGGGAAACTGCAGAGCTTTCAAGTAATCCCCACAGGAAAAACGATCTTTTCACCTGTCAGGTAGAGTCTGGGATAAGTTACTGCTCAGGAGTCCAGTTTTGAGGTCACCGTAGTTGGAAAGAGTATTATTGCAAGGCTGTAAGTAGAAAGGATTAAATGGGCCACAGCCTCTACAACAGAACAAATTCAGAGCAGTGTGTGAAGCTGGGCAGCTCCTTGCCATAGGATGTTGCGTGTTAGGAACGTGTGTGGCTTTAAGGAGAGATTTGGCAAAGGAAAGATTGATTAGATGGGTGACCCAGGAGACCTCTGAGCTGGAAATTGCAGGAGATCAAAGGAGCAGCCTTTTGTCTCCTAACATAGGCATCTGTGTTTTGCTGCTGCTCCTCTTTGTTGACTGACAGAAGGGATGTGAACGTGTCCTAAAACCTAAAAATACTTCCCTGCAGGTGTATGTGGAGGGGCAGGATATACAGGAACTAGTCAAGTGAGTAAGAGGGCTGAACAAAGAACAGAGAGGGAAGAGAAGGGCACTGATGGATCCAAAAGCTTGACAATTTTAAAATGAGTGAAGAGGTCATAAATAGCAAGGGGAGAAACACTAATTTTGGAGAAGCTGGAAGAGGGGCTGTGGTGAATGTACAGCTCCTGGTGCACCAAGGGCACGGGTGGGAAAAACAATGTCCTCCATACAGAACCCCTCTGTGTTTGAATGCTGCTTCTTCTGAAGGGGAAACAGAGGCATGGTTGGGGTCTATCTTGGGATGTTTTGCCTGAGGGGAGAGTCTCAGACACGTGTGTACATACATGCACAGGAGTGGAGGCAGAAGGGCCCAGGTTCCCTGGGAGCAGCATGGTGCAGGGGGGGTCAGACTCCCAAACACCATGGCTGCATGGAGCTGGTGGGACCCAGCCTGTGCCAGCACCGAATTCCAGCTTATCTGATCCAAGTTCCAATCCACAGGCAGGTCTCCCAGTTAACCAGTCTGGCACTGCTTTAGGCTGGAGCAGAGGAAACGCCTCCTCTTCAGGCCAATCAAGATATGTCTCCCAAAAGCCAAACATGTATTTACACGTGCTAGATCAAGTGACCTGGGCTCTGTGTGCCACCTGGAATTGGTCCCCAAAAGCCATGATCCTCCTCTGGAGCAAGGGTCAAATTATCCTCTTGGCTGGTGCTTCCTGGCACAGCAAGCCAGCTCTTCTCTTCCCTTGGGCTGAGCAGTGTGTGTCCTTTTGTTGCACAAACGCTCCTCCTTTTAGGCTCTGTTCTTGGTAGAATCAGTGGCTTAACTGGCTGTCCTGTGTGCTGCTTGTCCTTCTTGACTAGCTGGTATCCTCACAACCTGGGAATAGCAGTATTCCTGCTTATAATTTGGACTAATAAACTGGGGAGGGACAACTGTTTTCTTCCAATGACTGGACTGCTGTCTTCTGACTAAATTTGGGAAACGCTGATGATGATCAGAAGAGGACTCTCACATCCAGTGAAGGACTTGACTCTGTATGTTGACAAAGCTTTGCAGTGGGCTTAGTGAACTGCTGACCTTATCTGACTCCAGATGGGAGGTGGCAGTGCTATCTAAAAATCTGACACTTAATCCAAACCTGTTCTTCACTGTTGCTTGGTGACTGGATCATCCCATACTCGGGAAGAGCACAAGTGAGCAGGTTCACACCAGGAGTCAGAGATATGCTTAGTATAGAGATGCAAACCATTAATCTATTTCTTACTTTTGGTAATCATATTAGGCTCTAGCAGTAGCCTAACTACATTTATTACAACTTAGAATCCCAGAATCATTCAGGCTGGAAAAGGCCTTCAACACCACAGTATACCCTGTGCCCGATGCCCGCCTTGTCCCCCAGCCCAGAGCACTGAGTGCCACGGCCAGGCCTTCCTGGGACACCTC